AAACAATATCAATTATTAATTTCGTCTCAAAAAAGTTATCGATCATTGAAAGGTAATATTGAAATGATAGGAGAGTAAGGTCTGTTAATCAATAGATTTATACTATAGGAAATCGCACGGCAATGTGGCATTGATCAGTCACGAGTTATTTTCGAAAGTTCTTTGCCCGACAGGGTGACGGCTAGTGATTTACATTGATCTTTCTCGTGTTCTCCCAACCTATCCCGCGCGGTTTATTTCGCCAGTAAACCACACATCAACTTCAAGCTATCGTTTATTGCTTATAATATCAAAGACACGTTTCGATTATAATGCGCGTTCATTCGAGCATTTTTCTTTAATATTGGTTTTCATTCCATAAAACTAAAATACATAAAAAGGCGTGTTTCAAAAGTATAGAAAATACAAAATACAATTAGGAATTTTTTTAAATTTACTTATCACAAAAAGTAAAAAGCTATTCACATGATTGCTTTGACATAATTTTGACAGCTTAACGACGAATCAAAGAGCAAACAGCATCATTTTGATGCTTTTGGACTAGCTCAAGAGAGTCAATGGTTCTCCAAAAGTCACGAATATTTCAGATATGTGAAAACACAGTTTCTTTGGCAATGTTACTGTAAATCTGAATATCGATCATGTTCCTGATTCTGAATGTTTGGACGGGAAAGTTGCCGCCGTCAACTACGGTGACTTTACACTGTTGAAAGCTGTTTACTGAAGGATTTCGTCAAGTGCTTCTGGCGGATGCTGTTCAATGTTTTTCACTACACTTGCTGATAAGAGGTTGTCAATAAGAGGACATGCACACCATCACATCTCGCCCGCGCTCTCAGTCGAAAGAAAAGACTGATTTTCGATCTTTTTTAGACTTAAATGTGGTAAAAAAACAAATTGCACACACGGTTTATCGTTGTAGACGTCATATAATGCTCAAAACTTTGCAGTGAACAAAATTGCTGCACTCGTGGGTCCACTTCAGTTTTGAACATTCTATGACGTCAAGAGTGTGTCAATAAAAGAGAACATACAACTAAAATTTAAAAACCGTGTGCAATTTGTTAATTATGCTTCACTCCTCGACCCAGCTGCACAAAACTTTCAACCAGGTTTGAGTACTTTTTTGTGTTTTAACTTTTTTTGCTTTTTCTTTTAATGCCTTATTAGTTCGTTCCCGATCGAACAGCAAAACGACTGTCGGCCATCTTTGAACACACCTAATTTTCCCGCTTTTCGGCTTGTGCTGACCATACTTAAAGCTGTAATTACGCTACCCTCGACCAATTAAAAAATTAAATTATTTTGTTGAATGTACTATATTGTTTTGTAAAAAAAGTTCATTTCATTCGCAAAAGGTGGCCGACTTTTCTCTCCTCACTCCTTTTTATTCATAGATCAGCGCCGGAATCACGATAAAAAGATTCTTGGGCCGGATTTCTGTAAGTTAATGTACTATTTTTATTACTCTTCTCTGGAATTGTG